TCTCTCTCTATCTATCTATCTATTTAGCTATCTCTCTATCTACCTCTCTCTCTCTCACTCTACCTACCTATCTATATCTCTGTCTCTCTCCCTCTCTCCCTATCTATCCATCCATCCATCTATATCTCTCTCTACCTACCTATCTATCTATCTATATATTTAAAGTACAAAAAGTCAAAGGATGCTTCATGCAGTCTGGCACATATCAGACCTACAATATGTATTTGTGTACTAATTATCGGAATTAAGTATCTCATGTCGTCAAAACAAGGCAGTGTACTGTAGTAAAAAAGTATAATATCTGCCGACGAAATGTAGAGGAATTGAAATATATAGTAAACAAGTGTGTAAGTTATCACAGTATTCAGTCATCAGTAACAGAGGTTTCTAGTGCACTCTTGTATGAAAGTACAGATGTCTTAGTAGTAGCTGCACTTTCAACCACTCTTTGTGTGCAATATAGTTTAAGTAAGCCTTTGCATATACACTGAAATGTTGACTTTAAATGTATTATGTCAACATTTCACATAACTGTATTATGTAAGTTCATACATTAATTTGAACCTCATATTCAAAACGTACTTAAATTGCTTTCAACGAACCTAATACAGTAACGTGAAATCTGTCGACATAATACATTTAATCGAAGTATATTTTGTCAGTGTTAGCACACATGAGGGATGATTTTAAGGCACCGTACTGTGAGAGCAGAGCAGCAGTCTCTCGGTCCACAGGGGACGTCATAAAGTCTGCAGGTCACAGTTAGAGGGGCTGTCCGTGCCAAGGTCGGCCGTAGTTATGAAGAGGTTGATGATTTGGGCTAGATAAACACACTGTCCTCTCCCCGAGAATACAAAGCAGCTGTGCCACGCTAACTGTCAGGCTGACAAAACAACGAGGCCAGAGAGGACAGAGGGGGAGACAGAAGAAGACAGAGGGGAGGGGGGGTAATGGGAAAGATAGACAGAGAGCAAGGGAGGGATTAAATAAAGGGTGTGAACATAATGGATGAGAATCAGAAGATGGAGAAAATATGGTTTTCTGTAGGAGTTGATCTATTTTAGAATGAATGAAATGTAAGGAAATAGCATAAAAATGTTTATTTCAACATAAGAGGTAAAAGAAACATTAAATAGAAATATACAATTTATAGTTAAAAAAAACGAAAGTAAAGATTTGCATTAAAAAGATACAGTTACATTAAAAACAATTATTTTATAAACTTAAGAAGTTACAGTAACAACGGGAAATACAAATATGAAATACAAAATACAAAATGTATAAACTTAAGAAGTTAAAGTAAAAATGCTTAAAAAATATATAAAATAAAAGATATTCATATAAATATTCAAACTAAGGGTAAAATCTCCATTAAAATATAAAATAAAATTAAGATATTTGTTCAACCTTAAGAAGTAAAAAATGTCCACGGGAAAAATAAAATAAAATAGAACAAAAATATTTACATAGACATAAAAAATTTAAATGTGCACGACAACAGGGACTTAAAGGTCCCATGGCGTGGACACTTTTTACTTCTTATATTTCCATTGTTGAGGTATACTATAATAGATTTAAATTGTGCAAAACTCATCCTGAGCACACAAACACTCACGGCTGAAGTAAAACAATAAGTGTGGCTTGATATTGAGTAAGAACAAGGTTTATAACGCTGTGAGAATGGGTCTGCGGAGAGCATTTCTCCGCCATCCCAACTCGTCTATTACCAACCAGGGAGCTCTATGCAAGTCAATGGGACTCCCTGTTAGTTAGCCAAGGGGTCCTGGTGTGGGAGGTGCTCCGCGGATTGGTCCATTTGGGCCAATCCGGTCCTTTGTTGTTGTTTTGGGTTTTCACACGTCACAGAACCCAGGAAGCAAACAATGGAGAAAGAGAAATGTCCAACGAGGCGTTCTGGAGCAGCACAGATGGGTCTTCTCTGTGTTAGAGTTTTACTCGCTACAGGGTGCACTTTGAGGGTTTGTGACTGCAGACCGTTCACATGCAGAAAAACCTTCATAACACAAGGGGATGGGTAATAACCAGAAAAGCATGACATGGGACCTTTAAAATAATTCAGGAGGTTGTAGAATCAGACACATAATCTGTTTCAACAAGTGCAGTAGCAGAGGACACTAAATGCAGACTCCCACTGCTCTCTAAGTCGAACAGTCCATTCTGTGAACCATCAGAAGTGCTCGGACAGTGTGATTTCAATGGAGGTGATTATCATTCCCTCAAACAGATGATTTCTCTCATTCACAAACGCCCGAGGCTTTCTCTCTGCGCACATTCTGCTCATTTCCACGGCGCTGATGAATGCATTCAGTAATTATAGTTTAATAGAAATGGCGGTTTCATATTTCATTAGGAATCTTCTATTCCACTCACTCCGGATGAGTGTACACAGATTAGTGAGCTGATGTTGTTTGATGAGGGGAGTGAGCACGTGTTGACAGGACTCACTCAGCTCCATCTTTACAGACTGTGGAGAAGTGAATAATGGATTACATCTGTATGCTCGTTCCTGACACCCTCACTGTGGCATCTCTCTGCCTGCCTTTGTACTGGTTTTATTTGTATTCTCCTTAAAGTACTGCAGAGGTGACGTATGTTTGAAACCAATCTAGAAGTTAGCAAACCCCTGGTTACTGCAACAAAAACTAAGGGGATTCTTCCATTTCATTTTGGACGATTGCAGACATTTGAATCATGGCAAACACAAGTTTATGATGCTTGCATGGTTTGTTTGGCAAGATAATCCATCCCCCTTTTTCGTATCATTTTTTATTGTTAATGCAAACTCCAGAAGTTAAAGGCTATAAAGGACGGTCACATGACTTCATGTCACCACCGCTAAGCTAAAGGCGTCTAATGTTGGGCTATAAAGGAACTACAGCACGGTCACATGACTTCACGTCACCACCGCTAAGCTAAAGGCGGCTAATGTAGGGCTATAAAGGAACTACAGCACGGTCACATGACTTCACGTCACCACCGCTAAGCTAAAGGCGGCTAATGTTGGGCTATAAAGGAACTACAGCACGGTCACATGACTTCACGTCACCACCGCTAAGCTAAAGGCGGCTAATGTTGGGCTATAAAGGAACTACAGCACGGTCACATGACTTCACGTCACCACTGCTAAGCTAAAGGCGGCTAATGTTGGGCTATAAAGGAACTACATCACGGTCACATGACTTCACGTCACCACCGCTAAGCTAAAGGAGGCTAATGTTGGGCTATAAAGGAACTACATCACGGTCACATGACTTCACGTCACCACCGCTAAGCTAAAGGTGGCTAATGTTGGGCTATAAAGGAACTACAGCACGGTCACATGACTTCACGTCACCACCGCTAAGCTAAAGGAGGCTAATGTTGGGCTATAAAGGAACTACATCACGGTCACATGACTTCACGTCACCACCGCTAAGCTAAAGGTGGCTAATGTTGGGCTATAAAAGGAAATACAGCACGGTCACATGACTTCACGTCACCACCGCTAAGCTAAAGGTGGCTAATGTTGGGCTATAAAGGAACTACAGCACGGTCACATGACTTCACGACACCACCGCTAAGCTAAAGGCGGCTAATGTTGGGCTATAAAGGAACTACAGCACGGTCACATGACTTCACGTCACCACCGCTAAGCTAAAGGAGGCTAATGTTGGGCTATAAAGGAACTACATCACGGTCACATGACTTCACGTCACCACCGCTAAGCTAAAGGTGGCTAATGTTCAGCGTTAAGACGTTTAGTCGTCTCGTTTAGACTCATATGTAAAGTCTTTAAAAACCACTAATGGGGTATTTATTGACCTATTTGATGTCAAAGACCAGAACGTATAAATCTATTAAGCTTGTATTAACCACAGATCTTATTTCAGGTATCTTACCAAAAACCTATTGTAAATAAAATAGCTTTGAGACCATTATGTCTGTGCCAAATTTCATGGAATAATATTAAAAATAAAGGTGTACATTTAGAGGATAAGTCATTTGGCTTCTCCCTTGCAACACCAATACTGTATGTGCCAAAGTCAAGACAATCCATCCACTACTTTGTATTTATAAAATGCAGTCTGGTTAGAAGTGGTGTAACTATCTTTGCTAAATGATATGTCTTTGTGTTTGTATGTCTGAGACATCGGTATCATTTGAGATGTGATATATTAAACACTCCTGTACACGGTGTTCCACCAGATGATTTTTAATTAAGTCTGTTGAATCGTTTTACAGCACAAAACATGCTCTGCTCTTTTAGCACAAATCAAGTTGAAGCTTTTAGGGACTCTCAGCTTCAGAGGAGATTTTATCAAGAGCTGCTCTCCCTCTGCAGCCTCCTCCTGCTCTTCAAGACAAATGTTCGCTGTGATTCCACTTTCTGACACCGGGAGAATGAATCCATCTTTTTTATTAGTTGTTTTTTTATATCCGTACACACAACATCTATTGCACGTCTGTCCGTCCTGGGAAAGGGATTCCTCCTCAGTTTCTTTCTCTCAAAATTATAACAATTTCCCCGATTATTGTGGGGTTCCTTGGGGAGTTTTTAAGTTGTAAAGAAACACAAACTACACAATTGTCCTCATGCAGGAAGTGATGTAAGAACAAATCAAAAGTCAACGCCAACTTTATTGTCAATCTTTCAGTTTGTGTGTACAGACAGAGAGATCGAAATACCATTTCCCACAATCCCGAATACAAAAATATATATAAAATATGTACAAAAGATGTATATCCTATATATACACAATCAACAAACACATTTATACATATGCACACATTAAGATAAAAACACAACAATCAATATATAAAAAATAACAGTTACTTCAATATCTTTGGGAATGTACATTAGTGCAAAATTGTCCATAGCGTACACAGTGTAAAATGGTTGCTGGAATTGAGTCTGAGTGTTTGTGGCAGCGTCTCAATGCTGAGAAAAGGCGTACAATAAGTAGTTTTGACTCGAGTCGTTCCCTCTCTTATCCCAACAGGAGAGGTTCTTCGTCTCGGGAGGATCTCGGGCCACACGCTGAACGGGGGCTGGGCGTCCTGGAGCTCGTGGACTCAGTGCAGCAGAGACTGCAGCCGGGGGATCCGCAGCCGGAAGAGGACCTGCTCAAACCCAGAGCCCAAACATGGAGGTCAGACCTGCCTGGGGACGCTGCAGGAGTACCAGGAGTGCAACATCAGCCCCTGCCCAGGTAACACCTCCTCAATCCATCTGTTTGATACACAGGTTTCTTCATTTGGATTGTCTGTGCTGTGCATTTTTTTTAATACACGTTATTTTTTACAGCCATACACACAACATCTTTTGTCTGACTGTTTTTTGTTTTACTCCTGTTTTTCTGTAAAGCGACCTTGGGTCCCCTGAAAGGAGCTATATAAATCTAAGTCATTATTAGTATCTATTGCACGAAAGGGATTCCTCCTCAGTTGCTTTCTCATAAAATTATAACATTTCTCTGCGATAATTGTGGGGTTTCTTGGGGAGTGTTGTATGCTTTAAAGCCCACCTGAGACATGTGTAATTTGTCAAATTAGGATGTAAAAATAAAAACAGATTGATAGTCTAAGTTGTAGAGACACCAACTACACAATAGTCCTCGAGCAGGAAGTGATGTAAGAACAAATGTCCTTTTATTTGGCGATTCACCAATGTTTTTTTGTCTCTAAGAGCATTTTACGATAAAGGCTAAAGGCACTATTACTTCCTCCTAAGTGTTTGTCCAATGCAAAGATGTTTAACATTTAAAAATCAAAGCAATTAGAAGTAGTAGAAAGTCATTATAAGGGTTGGATTATTAAATATGTGGGATAAAGAAATGGTAATGGTCCATTCATCCTAATAAAACCCTCTGAGGAGGATATTGTGTGCGTTCAGCTTCTGAATGTCTTACTTCCCGCTCTTAGATGCTTTCAGATTGTCTGAAATGCCAGTAGTAAAGCTGAAGAGAAAATTCTAAGAAATTATCTGAGGAATTAGAGGTACGTTGTTGCACGAGGGAAGAGGACAGCGAGAGATAAGAGCAGAAGTCAATTACATATCCAGCTTCCTTCTCCCTCACACACATATATAATACACACTCCTGCACTCATGCTATGTTTCCCTGATTAACGGATAAAGAACTGCAGTGACTTCAAATCATCAGGAACCACAAAATAAATCAGTCGCAGATAAGAGGTGTGACGAAGACGCCAATTTACACAGTGGCGCTTCACTGTGTAATTACAATGCCGGGTAATTATTCTGTCAGCCTTATTCTGTTGTGAAAAGCTCTGAGACGATGCATTCTCAACACTCCTCCAGCAGAAGAGTGGGAAGAAGCTTTCTAATTAGTCTGTAGAAATCCTGTGCTTAGGTTGGCATGAAGCGCACCTGGTGGCAAGCACACAAACACGAATGTTGTCGTATTTTTTATCAAGACCCCTGGAGAAACACTGAAGTATCTCTTTTAAAATCCTGATTCTTCACGTGATTTTCAGTGCGTTGCTGTTACCGAGCAACAATTCTAAATATACAAAGAAATGCTCTTTTAATTGTACCCTCTTATGTTCTGCTATTTTTACCTGTTAGAGTATTTATTGTAAGGTGTCCTTGGTTGCCCTGAAAGGTATCTCCAAAAAATGTGTAGAACAAGTAGTAGTATAAGTAGTAGTAGTATACTAGTAATAGTAGTA